AGTTTCGGCTTTATCATCACTCAAGGGTAGTCCGAGACAGGTCATACAGCTTTGCAGCGAAGCATTTAAGCTTTCGAGCTCGTTACGCCATACTACAAGCCTGATTATTTCTTATTGATCCTTCATCTATCATGTGACATCTTCAGAGTGATTGACCATTCATTAGCGAATTTATATGAGCAATAATTGGAAATATGAATTTCGCTAAAGATCACTTTATTGCCCTGGTGCTATATACTGCGACAGACAAAAGCTCATTACGAATTGATCGGGCCTGATGGACGGCATATAGAGGGATGAAAGATGAGAATAAAATGTGTTTCTATATTAACTAAAATTGACTCCCCTTGGGATGTGATGATCAAACTTACGAGTTGACAACTGTGATCCATCACTTTTGGCAGAACATTACAGCAAAAATCATTGAGAAGTCTAAGCCTTCGCCTCAAACATTTTGGGCCTAAAGTCCTAATCAATCACTGTTTTAACAGTTGAGGATCGATTGGTGAAGGTAATAAGGCCGTACCCTCAGAAATTATCCTTATCCATACCATAACTCGTAGGTGGTCTTCTTTTGTTTTAAGTGAGCCCAATTTACTAATCTTTTATACCTAAATTTTCATGTGAAATGAATGGACAAATTAGCTTTATCATTCAATCTCTCGTGTTGTTTGCCAAAACGTTAAGCTCTGTTGCGTTAAAAATGGGCTGATCTCGCTCTCGCAATTTGGTCGTGTTGTTAGGCGAACTAGTTGGATCTACTTTGTCCGAGGTCCTATGCTATAGTAATCATAATTCTTAGCGTCGGACTATGGACTTATCACATTCTCAAGTACCAAGTCGACGGTCCAAAGCTGGGAGTTAAAATTACAAGTCTCAGTGGTTGATTATGGCCTCCGACTTGGACTCAAGAATTTTGACCGTATTATTCTCCTAAAAGCGGATATTTATCAAGATGGATTACAATTAACAACTCGTAAGTTTATAGCCCAAGGGGAGTTAAGCTCAGCTAATATAGAAACACATTTTATCCTTATCTTTTCCTCTATATGCCGTCCTCCAGGCCCGATCAATTCGTAGTGAGCTTTTGTCTGTCGCAGTATATAGCACCAGGACAATAAACTGATCTTTAGCGAAATTCATATTTCCGATTATTGCTCATATAAATTCGCTAATGAATGGTCACTCACTCTGAAGATTTCACATGATAGATGAAGGATCAATAAGAAATAATCAGACTTGAAGTATGTCGTAGGGAGCTCGAAAGCTTAAATGCTTCGCTGCAAAGCCGTATGACCTGCCTTGGACTACCCTTAAGTGATGATCAAGCCGAAACTATGATGCATACTAGATTTATATATATACACTTTTTGGTTCATATCACAGAGCAAGCGGTTTACCCAATTGTGTTTTTACTATCTAATAGTACCTGAGGCCCTGATCGATCAATGGTGGTCATTTATTATGAAAAAGAGTGCCTTAGTTGTTTCAGCGTAACCTAAACTTAAGATATGCTTTACAAAATACCAAACTTTATTAAACTCTAGGACAGCCAAACCAAACAAATAATAAAAGTTTGCCTGTCATAATAATGTCCATATCAGGTCAAATTAAAACTAATTTGAAGTTCAGTAGTGATGCCTCAACAAAGACAGAAATGCGAATTTAGAATAAGAAAATATTATGCGGCCGACTCAAAACCGCCTTTTATCAATTAGGATGTAAATAAGGAATTCTATATTAGATTAGGATGTTATTGAAAATTGATTAAAAATAGCTGAGTACGAATATTGCAATTGCAAGATGAGAATTCAGTTGTGATGAAATAAGACATACCGTTTCCAGAATATTTGAGGCATTGGACAATGCCTGTATAAGCCTCAAGACAACTTAAACGGAGACTGTTTAAATATTCTATCATATCTGGATCAGCTAAATTAACTTCGGCTTGAGTCGCCTGCTTCAGAGTGTCAAGAATGAGGAAGAGGAAAGGTCGAATATCGGGACCAAGTGCGAGCGCCAAGTCCCCGAATGTGGATAAGATTGCAGGTCGAATAGACTTGTCCGCTGAAGCATTCTAAGATATTTGTTTATACAATTGTAATGAGCAGTAAGAAATAGCAATAGATCATGTACGATAAAAATGGATAAAACATAAGGTATACAGACCTGTAAAGTCTCCATTAGAATATTAAAGAGACCCTCAGATTGAGGAAACATGTTTCTGCCGAGAGTTCTACACATATCCCCAAGTAAACCAACGGCATTTAGACACACTTGAGTCTCTTCGCACAGGCGAAGACATGCTACAAGAACGGGCATAAAAGCATCTAAATACTTAAGAAATAATTCTCCAATAACGTCAATAAGAGCCGAAACAGCCAGAAGTGCGTCCTCTACAACACCATCCGTTTTGCAAAGAGGTGATTTTGCATTATCTTGTACGCCAACAACAGAATGAAACATTGACATGAGAGCAGACATGACCTAAAAGAGTCAATACGAAAAAAAATCTACCTTATTTGATATGCTTGGGGCATCTTCCTTATTAATTTTCTTTAAAACCGATTGTAGAGTAGCACAAAGGAGTGATTGGAGGTCATTAAATTGCGCACGATCCATTGTGTTAATTATATGACATTCATAACCCAATATTGTTTCGAGACGTTCAAGAACAATAAGAGTAACCCCTTGAACATGGCTGTAGCAATCACGGGCAGCGGACCTGATTAAGGCCATTAGGGCTGAATATGCTGCATTGCGGAGACTGTGCTGAGCTCCGTCTGCTCTGTTCGATGCTTCAAGGAGTTGAAGAGAAATAGTGTCGAAATATCGAGAGAGGGCATAAGTTGAGGGCTCGTCATCGCCATCATTCGAAGTATCTGTAAATCAAATAAGGCTTAAATACTTTTTCTTAAATTGAGAAATACTAAAATAAAAGCCTCTTACCAACATGTTCGTTCACAGCTACATCGTAAGCGCCATCTGCAAGGCTTTTAAACGCCCAGCAAACATTAGCAGCAACACGAGGCTCAGCAGTCAGACCCTCAAATAGTCCAGTAAGAAGTGGTACGAGATAAACCTCAGCTAGTGCTACTTCAGGTAGAAGATCACAGACCCGGCCGATGGTCCACGCTGCCGAATCTCGAACCGCCGATACAGGATCTCTCAATAATTCAATTATGAATGGCATGGCCGATTCAACGAAGGGCTACAATGAGTTAACGTAAGCAGACCATTAAGAATGATTAGGCAACTATGCATCATAAGAAAAAAATGTAGGGTTGTTGAACATGCACGTATGTGGGAATGACAAGCAAATTATCTTATTCATTGATTTACCTTGAGAGCATCGGTATTGGGGCCTTCGAGAATGCTTCCGAATGCCATTATTGCTGCGTCTCGCATTCTCCAATTTTCATGCTTTATATTGTCATTCA